GTCCTTTGGCTAAAATCAAGTGTCAAACCAGGGTCATAAATGATTTAATAAATTGTAACAAAATATTTCAAAACTTATTTTGGGATACAGGGGATGACCCTTATGGTGAAAATGTTTGAACTTGGAGCTATGGTATAGCTCACCCAAGGCTAGAGGCCGAGTCAGGCAGTGTCAGAACTTATACCTAGTGCCTGGCCCTGGCATCCATTCCATTGTGCTCCACCCCAGGGACAGAGTAGGTGAGCTGACCTTGGCAGTGCCCAGTGCCTCACATCTGACACCTGCTTCCCTCCTGCCCAGTGTCCCTGACTTTGAAACAGCTTTCTGGTGTCTGGCTTCTAGCTCAAGGCAACCTGGGCTTCTCAGCAAGGGTTGTCCAGGAAACCCCTTCTCCATGAGGCAGGTGTGGGTGTGGGAAGTCTCTCTGGAGATGAATCAGCCCTGCCTGCTCCTGGGTGAGTCAGGAGCTGAGCCTGAGAAGGGCTAGAGGACTGGGGAGAGAAGGGAGGAGGAAGGAGGGCCACAGACATATGGACCAACCACCAGAGGGCAGACACCAGACAGGCAAAGCTTCTGGCGCTTGTATAGGAGCTGGCTGAGGGGGTGGAGAGAGTGTGAGGACCCAGCTTCTCAGGCTGGGCATGGACATAGTCCCTTCCTCAGATGTCCCTGCCATCTGGCTTCTCTGCCTTATGGGGAACTGAAGAAACAGAACAGGAAGGGACAACAGGCCTGTCCTCCCTTGGGGATGCAGTGGCTCCAGGCTACACAGGGAATCAGTCTCTGGGATGTAGCCAGTGGATGGGCACAGTCCGGGTTTTGGTCACATAAGATGTGACGCCTGGCTGTGGCCGGGCCTCCAGAGGCTGCTGACTGCACAGCTCCCCTCATCTTGCTCCTTTCTACCTGGTCCCCTCTGCCTGCTTCTCCTTGACCTCTCTCCCCACTTCCCTTTCATAGTTCCTTGGGCACTCTTCCTCTCTGGCTTTTCCATGACTGCCTCCTTGTTCCTTTTTGTCAGCCTTCTGCCTCTGCCCCTGCCTGCTGGGGAGTTTGCTCAGCCCCTTCACTGGGTCCCTGGGGGTGGGAGGCTTCCTGGGTTCCCTCCTCAGGGACTGGTAGCTCTATTTTCCACCCAGTGTCTCAGTTCCACTCTTGGAAACTGAAACGCTATTCTTTGCTAGTGCAATCAGTGACATGATTTCAGGCAGTGAGAGGTCTCCCCGGCCGCCTGGCTCCTAAATAGTAGCTGGGTGACCCCTGTTGCCATTCGGCAGCCACGAACACTGTTGGCATCTGATGTGGGTGAGACCCTTTGCCCATGTAGAATGAAGAAGACCAGGGCCTGGCTGGTGTGCTCACCACTAGGGGGATGTGAGTGACTCAGTCTAAAGTGGATTGCCCTGAGGACACAGGGACACAAGGGTGCTTTGTGTGGGACAGATCAGGTAGAAACTGGATCTGATAGGGGCATGGAAGGCTCCATGAAGTGGCTGGCATTTAACTTTCCTTTGAAGGGTCGGTGAGATTTCTCTGTACCTCATCTTCTCTTTCTCTGGTACTGGGGATTGAGTCTGGAGTCTTTGTACTGAGCTACATCCCCAGACCTTGGTTGTTTGTTTGTTTTTTGAGACAGGGTCTTACTATGCAGTTCAGACTGGCCTTGAACTTGCTTTGTAGCCCAGGCTGGTCTCAAACTCAGCAACTCTCCTGCCTCAGCCTTTCGAGTGCTGGGATTACAAGTGTGCACCACTATGATGGGCTCTGAAACACGTTCTTGATAAATTGCTAAGCTGTCCAGGTTGGGCTCAAACTTGTGATCCTCCTGTCTGAGCCTCACAGAGTACTGGGGTTACAGGTATGAGCCACCATACCACCCAACAAGGTAGGATCCCAGCATGAGATGTGGTTGGGCTGGGCATGGTCACTTTCTGAGCAGAGTGACCAGTATAAGACAGAGTGACCAGTATCTGCTAGCCAGGTCCACGTGTGTGTCCTTGTATGTGTCCACCCACAGTGGACTGGGCAGGCAGGGAATGTGCAGGGAGGTTGGAAAGCAGGTAGGGACCAGTGTCTGGGGACACTCTGCAGTTGAGAGGGAAGATCCCTGGGAGCAGCAGTACATTGCACTGCCTTGGTCCTTACCCCCAGTAAGGAGGGGTTTTATTGATTCTACCTGAAGAAGATTTTGGTGGAAGAGAAATAGCATGAGGAGGTCAAGGACCTTGCAGAGAAGGCGACACTGTGCCCGTGCAAAGGTTTAGAAGAGGACACTGGGGCCCCAAGATCCACTTCACATATGCCACTGAGTCTGGCCCCCAAGTCCCAGCCTCCTTCATGATCTGATCTGACCTTGCAGGTGTCACCTTCCTCTCTCTTGGGTCTGCCAGGCAAAGGGTCTCTAGGCCAGCGCTCTCAGACTTGGGTTTCAGGCTGCCGCCACCCTGGCCCTGGGGAGCAGGGCGTGCCCGCTGAGTCACTGCCTGGGCATCTGGGCCTGGAACCACGGGTGAGTCACCTAGGATGGGGGAGGGAGCGATGCATAACATATGGAGGGGGGAGGGGAGCTGGTCAACAGGAAGGGCGGTGCCCGACTGGGGTTGGGATAGGCAGTGAGCAGGAGCAGGAGCCCAGGGAGGGGGCAGATGAAGCTTCTTTCCTGGAAACCCCTGCCTGGGCTGGGTTGGAGGGTATGGTGTTCGCCCTCCTCTGGTATGGGAGGATGCGTGGGAGGTTTGGGATGGTGAGGGAGCCCACCACTGGTGCCCCTGCCTCAGGCCTGGTCTCCTGATTTGAGAAGTGTTCATCCTCCGATTTCCAGCTTGAGATAGAGGTGTCCTCCCTACCCACCCAGGTGGAAGCCAGGAGGCCGAGGTTTCCTGCTCTCCCTCTAACCCCTCCGGAGGCTCCCCTTCCCTCTACATGACAGACAGCTGGATCACCCCAGCTGTGGCTGCACACAGAGTAATCCCTATTTCTCCCTGCAGGGGAGTTGCTAAGCACTCCCAGTTACCTTGTTACCTCATTGAAAGGTATTCTAATGTGGACCTCTAACAGTGACTTTATATCCCCATCTTCTGACATAAGCCCTGCTGTCCTCTTCTTGATGCCCCCCCGCAACACCTCCAGCTGTCTTCTCTGGCCCTCAGCTTTCTAAAGATGACTTCACATTACTGCGCGCATGTGCCCTGGCCCCCCTCCACGTGCAGGGCTGTGCATTTCTCCCTGCTCTGTGTCCCTGCAGACATAAGCATGAGCTGTTTACTCACAGCTATGTCATAAAACTGAGGCCTGGCATAGGTCCCCAGGTCCCAGAGGAGGGCTGTTCCCCTTCCCTTGCCCAGGACTGCCCCTTCTCCCAGGTCACCTCCCTGTGGCCTCTGGGGCCTGAGTGCTTCAGGGAACACCCTGTCCTGGGCCCAGAGTCCTCCTCCAGCTGGTATCTGAGCTTCAGTCTGGAAAGAGGGATCTGAGAGGGAGTGGGTGGGTGGCAGGAGGCCAGGCTGTGGCAAGATCAGGTTAGGGCAGGTTCAGTTGGCAGAGATGTAGATTTGGCTTGTGAATCCCCACCCTGGGTGCTAGACCCTAGGCTGCCCTGAGTCTTTATCCTACCTGGTTTGGTGAGGGTCTCTGTCTGTCCAAGGGCCTGGACTCATCTTTGTCCCTTCATCTTAAGCACCGTCTCCAAGATACTTCTCTCTCTCTGGTATCCTTGGTTGGATCAGCCCCCAGACTCTCTGGGTCTCTCCCTCTGGGAGAAACCCTCTGTGACATCAGATCAAGTGGCGTTTCTCCTGGTTCCTCTCTGTGGGGCATGTCCCTCTGTGGTTCCTCAAGGTGTCTCAGTGAGGCCCTTTCTTTGGGGATCTAGACCTGTATCCTATTAGAAGATGGATATTTAAAGGCTGCTTTAACAAGACCCCCAAGTTTGTGTGCTTTTTGCTTTTGCTTTGTGCAAAGACCTGGCCTCTAGCAGAACTAAAGAGCAAGAGGCAGGGCTTCCACGACTGTGGCCCCACCCAGGTCTGGGTCGGGTAGCGGTGTAGCTTGCTCAGGGCTGCTCCCCACGCTTTCCTGCCTGGGCAAGAGCACTGGCTGGCAGGGTGTGCCTGGCAGGGTGTGGCCTGTAGGCCCGTCTAGGGCTTTTCCTGCCTTTGACACCAAGTTGGGATCCTCTGGCCTCTTACCCAACCCAAGATACTGGGTCTTACCCAACCTTGCCAGGCTGATCCTGGCATTCTCAGTGGCAGGGCCATGGTGAAAGTGACCTCTGAGGTTGTTCTTGTGTCTCCAGATTCCACCCTGATCCCAAGGCTCTGGGTGTTTAACTTCCTTAATGTGATTTTTTTAAAGACAGGGTCTCACTATGTAACACAGGCTGGCCTTGAACTCGGGGGTGATCCTTCTGTCTTAGTTGCCCAAATTTGGGGATTACAGGCATGTGCCACCACACCTGGCTAACTTCCTTACTAGGAATGCTTACAGGACTCTTCCTGGTATTGGGGTGTTTAGCCCCTCACCCTATCTGCATGGAGACAGTGTCTCATGACACGGGGCCTTGGGGTGAGAGAAAGCACCTGTGCCCAGAGTCCCTGCCCAAGGAGTAGCTTCCAGTTAGGTAGCGGTGACCCTGGTTCCAGCAGTCTGAGGAGGGAATGACTTCTTCAGGGAGGCCTGTACTGTTAGGCCACAGTGTGGCCACTGGCAGACAGCACAAGGAGCCATCTGAGCCAGCACACCATGTGCCTGTGCACCGCGCTGCATGATGTAGATAGAAATCAAGTCGGGATGCAGGTAACCCCATCATTTCCCTCCCTATAGGCACCTGAGATGGGGAGCCCCGCCCTTGGAGTGTCCCTAGTGTGATCAAGGGAGACTAAAGCCCTGCCCTTGGCGACTCCCAGACACAGGAAGGGGTTAGAGTCTGCTGGTGTTGTAAGGCAGAGGCCAGGGCCTGCCCTGCGGGAGCCACTGTCCCTGCTTCCCCATTCTGACAGGGTTAGGTGGAGCACAAGGCAGGGGTGCCCCTGCAGCCTGGCATATACATCTTGCCAGTCCCTTTCAGCCCCAGATCCAGTATGGCTGGTTCCCTGAGCAGGTGCTGGAGGTGGTTTGTCTCCACCCTCTACAAGTACTCTGGACGAGATGAAGACAAGTTTAGGCTGAGCAAGGGAGAGATGAAGGAATTGGTGCAGAAGGAGCTGCCCAGCTTTGTGGGGTGAGAGGGGCAGCCTGGGGGTGGGGTAGGCACAGAGTCTGGTTAGCAAGGCCCTCCTGTGAATGTTCTGTGAATTCCCGTGGACCTTGTCCTGTCAGGAACCCCAGGGTCCATCTGTCTAGTTCTCTCATTCGAGAATGGAGCAACTCATAGCCCAGAGAGGGAAAGCAATGGGCTCAGGATCATATAGCTCACCGTGCAGTCCCTACTACTCTTGCTTTCATATTTATATGTCAGACTAAGAAGCCATGTAGGGAGAATTAAGCCCAGCTAAGGCATATACCCAGGGACAGTTTGCCAAGAAATACAGTCAGTGGGTTCCTTTCCTGTACCTAAAGTCAGATCTTGAGCTTTGAACATAAGAGGCAGGTCCCTCTTCTCTTCTCTTCTCTTCTCTTCTCTTCTCTTCTCTTCTCTTCTCTTCTCTTCTCTTCTCTTCTCTTCTCTTCTCTTCTCTTCTCTTCTCTTCTCTTCTCTTCTCTTCTCCCCTCCCCTCCCCCTTCTCCTCTCCTCTCTCTCTTTTTCTCTCTCTCTTTGCTTGACACAGGGTTTTGCTATGTGGTCCAGACTAGCCTTGACCTCCTGGTGAATTCTCCTGCTTCAACCTCCCAAATGCTGGGATTAAGGACGTGCACCACCATGCCTGGCTCTTGATTTGCCTTTTCTTTTGCTTAAAACTTTCTGCTCAGTGGTGATGCACACCTGTAATCCCAGCAATCAAGAGGCTGAGGCAGGACAAATTTGAAACTAGCCTGAGCTACATAATGAGTTGAAGGTCTGCCTGAACTACATAATGAGACCCTGTCTTAAAAAAAACTAAAAATGATTTTTTCTAATCATTTTGGTTGGCATTAAAAAAGTGTGGAGTTGAAAGAGTAAATAAGATATTACAAATGTATATTAATTCTGGAAATAATGTCATTATTCTTTCAGTGTTTTTTCTTCCTTTTCAAAATTATTTTAATAATTTCAAGTTTCTTGGATATTCACAGAAAATTGTCACCTTCAGGTGTTTCACCTCAAAGTGTTCCTGAAAATTTTAACTTCTCTGTAATGTTTTCTAGTTTTCTGTATGTAGGTCTTGTAAATTTTGTGGGGAGGTTTATCCCTATTTTCTATTTGAATACTCTTGTAACTGCTGTGTTTTGTTTTTGTTTGTTACCATGACGTGCAAGTACAGTTGCTTTTCAATAAACATTAGAAAAAACAAAGCCTGCCTTTTCTGGATCCATCCTGCTGCTGATGAGAAGAAGCACCTCATCGGCAAGTTTTCCTCATCAGCAAAACAGAGGTGATGTCACGCTGGGCTCAGGTTGAGCCCCACCCCACGGGCAGCTAGCCAATCAGTGTCCAGGTGGCCTTCCTCCTGCTGATTCTGCTACCCGTGGAGGGATTGCTGGGCACCGGCTTATGTGTGGGGTGTGGGGGTCGGGATGAGCCCATTGCTCTAGTTAGCAGCAGAAGTGGATGAGGAGGGGCCGAAGAAGCTGACGGGTGAACTGGATCAGAACAGTGACCAGCAGGTGGGCCTCAAGGAGAGATCGCGGTCTTTCTGGCCCTCCTCACGATTATGTCCAGTGATCCAAAGACTTCTTCCCCGCCTACCCATGCCAGTCCTCAAAACAGAGCTTTCCTGAAAACGGAGCTTTTCACTTTCGGCTGCGGATCTCTGGAGTCCAGGAAGACTCTGTATACCCTTTTAATTTTTTATTTTTGTGTATTTGGTACAGGGTCTCACTATGAAGCTCAGACTCGTAGTGATCCTCCTGTTTTCAGTCTTCCCAGCACTGGGATCACAGGCAAGTGCCACCACACCCGGTCTTGGTGGCCTGTTCAGCACACCCGGAGGGCAGGCCATGCGTGGCATGTGGTGCCTTGGATCAAACTCCAGCCCTCCCTTTTGATCTTTTTTTTTTTTTTTTTTTTTTTTTTTTTTTTTTTTGTTGCTCGAATGCCTTCAGGGCACTTTTGGCCAGTGGGAGAGGTGTGAGGTTCCGAACTCCAGCAACCTGAGGCTGACAGCTTTGTGGAAGCAGCCACTTAAAGGCCTGAGCTAGGGCCAGGCCCCCCCTTTTGATCTTATACTCAGTAAACTTTTCTTTCATTCGTAGATAACAGAGTAATGACTCTTTGATCCCTATAATCCAGCTGGGTCATTTTAAAGGGCTGGAGACCGAGGATTTCCCGGACCCCACCCTGTTCTGCACCCCCACTCTTTTTTTGAAATCTCCCTGAGGCCAGAGCAGTACCTCAGGTCCCCCTTAGCCCAGTTCTGTAAGTGGCTGCTTCAACAAAGCAGTCAGGCTCAGGTTGCTGTGCTTCGAGCCCCACAACTCAAGTCAGCAAAACCTACCCTGAAGGCATTTGGAGCAAAAAACCAAAAAACCCCAAACCCTTCTGCCTTTGGGGCCGGGGAGATGGCTCAGTGGAATAAACGCTTCCCTAAGCTCAAGGGCCTGAGTTCAATCCCTGGTTCCGCAAAAAAAAAAAAAAAAAAAAAAAAATTAATTCCAGGCACAAATAAAAAGTTAGGAATTAAGATAGGTTTGCAACATTTTATTTTGCCAAACAGAGATACTAAAAAGTGCAAATACCTTCTACTATCATTATCATCTCATAAAAAGGGATTTTTTTTTTTTTTAAAGAGAGTTTTCGTTTTGTTTTGTTTTTGCTGCCTGCCCAAGGGAATGTTTTAATTTCAACAAAGAAGGAAGGATATAATCTCAGAATGGAAAAACCTCAATATTCAGGATTGAGAACAAGTGGTATTAGGATTTGCTCCAGAGTCTAACTCACCCCACAAAGCCACATTTCAAGTACTCCTCGTCAGATTGTAGGCCAAAGACAGTGTACTAGTTTTTAGAAAAGCTGTATTTGTTTTTATATCTGCTTCCAGATTGGCCAGTTCTATTTTGAGTTCATTTCTCTCCAGTTGACTTCCGATAAAAGCTTCTAGAAGCCAGCTTATGCCAAATTATTATTTCTTTCTGTCCTTTTTGTAAAGCTGTATCCTAGATTGCCTTATATTCTGCTTGACCAGATGCTTTATTATGTGAAAACAAAGGTCAACACCCAGCATAGCTCAGTGGCATAGAATCTGTCTGGGCAAGCAGAAGGTCATGAGTTCAATTCCCAGTACCAACAACAAGAAAAACAAAAACAAAAATGTCGTCAACTTTCTGGTCTACAAGGCTAGATCCTCATATTTTTCTTTTTTTCCTTCATCTAATTTCACATTTTAGGTTCATTACCTTTCTTTTCTTTTCTTTTTTTTTTTTTTGCAGAACCGGGAATTGAACTCAGACCTTTGCGCTTGCCAGGGAAGCACTTATTCCACTGAGCCATCTCCCCGGCCCCAAGGTTCATTACCTTGATGGATTCCACTTTCTCTTTACCAAATTCTCTACAGGTTAGGAATATATCAAGTATCAGTGATGGGTCACTCTGACTAGCAGTGGTTTAAGTAAATTGGCATTGAAATAGCTGACACAATAAAACTCTGACTAACTAGAGGACATTCTCAGATACCAAGGGGTTAAGAAAGTATATTGATCAAGACCCTTCTCTGAAAATTTTGCTGAGTGATTTATTTCAATGTCAGCAAAGAAGGCTGAACTAGCAGCTCAGGTGTGGGCCAGTGGCTCAGCGGTGGTGGCTTAAAACATAAATTTGTGACCTTTGTTGGTTTTGTGCTCAGAGTGGGCTTAGTTATCTCTCATTTGGTGCATCTCATGCAGTTGCAGATGAAAGCTGAGTCTGGAGTCCCCTGGAGGTTTAAGAGAACACCCAAAGGTGCTCACTCCTCATGCCTCGAAGCTGTCACTGGCTGTTAGCCAGATGCTCAACTCAATCTGGCAACTGGAATGCCTAGGTGTGGCCTTGCTGCGTGGTCCGGGCTTCTCAGAGCACCGTTTCCAAGAAGCCCACGTGGAAGCTGCAGGTCTCTTAAGATGTATTTACTTGTAGATAAGTCCATGGCTCAGAGGTTAGGGGAGGAGAACTAGACGTTCCCTAATGTGAGGCCCAGTATGCATGACATTGATGGTGACCATTCTTGGAGACAATACAAGGGTCATAGAAAATATGGTGAATGTTTAAATTTTAAAAATGTATTACAGTAAAAGGTACATTGTCAAAAATCCCCCTCAAAATAGTACCCTTGCGGTGAATACACTTATCCCATTCTTCTTGTCACTTTCTGGAGCAGTTCTGGAAGTCCTTTCTTGGGTGTCTTTGCAAGGTGTGATAAAGAAATACAGTGAGTGCTGCTTTCAAATGCCACCCAATGGAAAGGCAGGTTCAGAAGAACATCATGGTGTCTCCTCATTATTTACCAGATCTGGCACCGTGTGACTTCTCTTTTTTAAGTTAAAATGAACATGAGAGATACATATTTTGAATCCATTAGAATGTCAGGGGAGCCATAACAATGCAAGTGACACTCAGGAAAGGACTTAGCAAACTGCATCTGAAAGTGGCCAGAAAGATAAGATGGGATAAGTGTGTTTGTATTTTGAGAAAGAATATTTTGCTTGTGGAGAGACACTGTAAACAAAGCACCTTAGATGCCTCAGCCATGACTTGCTTGGGACTACATACACTCCCAGGGGGTGGCCACTGTTGCTGTCAGCACATTGCCAAGAGCACAGGTACCTCTGTGGCAGTGCTTCCATTTCTTTTCTTCTTCTTCTTCTTCTTCTTCTTCTTCTTCTTCTTCTTCTTCTTCTTCTTCTTCTTCTTCTTCTTCTTCTTCTTCTTCTGAAGAGTCAACAGGGTGTACAGGGTCTTACTACTAGATTGGACACATAGTGATCTGCCTGTTTACAGCTTCCCAAGAGCTGGGATTACAGGCGCGCACCACCATGCCCAGCCTCAATTGCCATCTCAGTGGGCCCTGGGGGTGGGGCCAGCTCAGCAGGCCTGGGGATCACACCCCTGGCCCCTGTGCCTGTTTGCAAGTGCTTTAATCCGCTGAGCTATTTGGCCGGCCGCAGTTTCTTTTTTTTTTTTTTTTCTTTTTTTTTTTTTTTTGGCTGGCTCAGCTGAGAAAGAATATTTTGTAGGGGATTAATGACACTATGACTTTAACTATAATAATTTAAATTTTTAAATTAAATGTTTTAATTAAATGTAAACATTCATCATATATATTATCATACTGCATATATTGTAGTCTACTTCTTTTTCTTTTCTATTTTTGTTTTGGAGACAGGGTCTTGCTATGTAGCTCAGGCTGGCCTTGAACTCATAACAATCCTTCCTCTTTCCTCAGCCTCCTGAGTACTGGCATTACAGGTGTGCACCATCACTCCTGACTCTGTAGTCTATTTTCTAGCAACAATTCACATCCTTTCCACATTCAGAAGAGACTCGTCTCCTTCCCAAGACCCGCAGAGTCTTGCCTCAACAAGACACTGACTTGAAGTCCAAGACTTTGTTCTGTAAGCCAGATCCAGATATAGCGGAGCTTCCTTGAGTGCAGTCATCCAGTGTTGCTCTTGACTGTGGTCCCTTGTGACTCAGAGTCCCAGGAAGAAAGCCTTCAGTGAGATACAGGTAGACACCCGCAGGAAACTCTCCTGTCTGAAAGGGTGGAAGTTGTGGTGGTGGGGGTTGGTGTATGTGAGGCACAAGTGCTGACGGGTCTGTAGCAGTCCTGAAATGGAGGCAGATTCATGTCTTTCAATGAGGTTCTGCTCTCTGAAGAAAACAGATCTTCGTGTCTTTTGACTTCCTGTTTAGAATTAACTCTTTTTTTTTTTCTTAAGAAATGCCATGCTTGACTGGCATGGTGGCACACACCTGTAATCCCAGCCCTCTGGAGGCTGAGGCAGGAGAACCCGTGTGAGGCCAGCCTAGGATACAAAGTGAGTTCAAGGCCAGCCTGCACTGCATAGTGAGACCCTGTCTCAAAAGGACAAAACAAGAAAAGAAATGTAGTGTTTATAGCTAAGTACCTTTCTCAGATTATTTCCTTTGGCCTTAAGTATGTCTCAGGGCTACTCATAGCTATGACCAAGTGTTTTTCACTGGGCATATTGACACCTTGAAAGAAAATAAAAAGTTTCAATGATAAAGAAAGGGAATGGACAGTGGGCAAGCTAGAACAGCACTTTTCGGAATTGTTTCCTCATTTTTCTTATCTCCCTGGAAACCCTTCAGTTTGGGAACCACTCACAGAGTGTCTCCAATAGAGTTCTCAGAAAGAGGAAGAAGCTGAGTGTGATGGTGCTGTTCTCTCACCGTCAGGCCCTTGGGACAGGGCTCTCTTTTCATGCCAGCAAAGAGAAAGAAGCCCACCTTCCTAGCAGCTCATCAGAAAGGAGCTGGTAAATTCAGGTCAGGGACCTATGACGATGGTGACTAACGTGCCTGCAGCAGTTCTCAGAGCTGCTTTCATGCACACTGTCATTTTAGCCTCTTGGTAACCTGAGGGGGGCTGTCATTAGGGCCCTTGATAGAGCAGCCCCTCTGGCCAGGCACTCTGCTAGTGGTGCACTCACTCGAGCACCATCTGGTCTCATTCTTGAAGCAACTGAATGAAGGGTGTGCTGTTGCTCTCCACGTGTCACAGATGAAGGAATAGAGGCAGGGAGAGGTTAAATAAGGTCCAGCGTCCTGATGTGGCCTACATCTGTGAGAAAAGTCAATCATTTGTTCCCTGTGGGAACACTGGGTGGCAATCTGGGTATCTGTCCACTTCTCACAGTCATCTCCAGAGCCTTGGGCCTCGTGTGAGGTGCGGGGAACTGGATGAACAGAATTCAGATGCCCTTGCTCTCCGTACCTCAAGTCAGTTGGGTCCAGTCCACTCTTGGTGGTTGGATTAGGGTAGTGGGACTTCTTTGGGACTTGAGACACATAGTGGGTCCTGGTTTCTCAGTTCTAGGTTTTAGGACTGTTTTGGTTGGTGGATTCTGGCCTCAGCTGGCTGCCTCTGCACTTGTGCCCAGTAGAGAGCTCCCAAAGGGCTAATCTTTCTTTCTGGGTGTTTGACAGATGCCAGACATTTTCTAACTGGTCCCAACAATTCTTCCTCTTCTTTGTGCTGAGGCAGAGAGGAGGCTCTGGAAGGAGCCCTGTTCAGGATCTGTTGGTAGGGCCCTAATGACAGCTCCCTTCAGGTTACCAGGAGGCTACCAACTCCATTCCTCTTGGAGTTGTTGCTGGGACCAGAGTCTTAGGAATCTCATCTGCTGCTGTGACAGGGAAGTAACTCCCAACCTGTTAGATGTGTGGAGTTTATGTCTTGAGACACCAAAGAATGGAATGGAGCTGAAGACAAAGGAAGTGAAAAGTAGGAAAGTTTTTTTTTTTTTTTTTTTTTTTTAAAGAAGAATCAATCTCCTGAGAGGCAGGAGGGGTCTTGAAGGTGGGACTGAGCTCTTTGTGGAGAGAGCTTTAACACAGTAAAATCACATCACAGCCTACATTAGATCAAACTACAATCCACCTATAGGATTACAAGTAGAGTCACTTAGCTACTACTGATTTAACAGGAAGACAAGGTACATAGCAAGGGTACACAGATGAAGCAAAGCAAGGGCAGAAGTGGACAGAAGGGACAGAAGTGAGGTCAGAGTGTTCTGGTCATCTGCCTTTTTGTTTGTTGCACTGTTTCCATGTGTTTGTCATGTTGTTTAGACTCACTGCACCAGATGGTGCTTGTTGCAGTACAGTTTTGCACTGTTGCTTATCTCTGGGGAGGTACACAGGCCTAGCCACAGTGTCTCCATCTTGGGGTCTGGTTTTTATCCACTCAGTCCTTGACCATATTCTAGTTTGTCTCATCTTTGCTCTGACTCTATCCTGGGCCTGAATCTTTTCTAATTGGCTATCATTCTCTTGGCTATCTGCAATACTCTTAGATCATACTGTCACTTTGGCCTTGTTCCTTTGGGTCAAGCCCATTAACCCAGGTCCATTAACCCTCCAAGAGAAGGGAAGCTAAAGGCAAAGATGAGCTTGTTACTCCACCCAGGTCTGTTTACTCACCTTGAAAAGCAGTAGGGTGAGTTGAGGTCAAGTCGTTGGGAAAAGGAAAAAGAATTATTTGGATGCCAGAAAAATAGGAAATAGGGGCTGGGGAGATGGATCAGTGGAATAAACACTTCCCTGGCAAGTGCAAGGGCCTGAGTTCAATCCCTGGTTCTGCCAAAAAAAAAAAAAAAAAAAAGAAAAGAAAAAAAAAAAAGAGGGACCGGCTGGCTAGTACCCTGGGGGTGCGGATGGGGGAGGGCGGTGAGGAACTCAACTCAGTCTAGGTTTCAAACTTCCTTTTATTCTTTGAAAGCAAGGCTTAGATTAGAAAAGGACTGATGAATGGACATTTTGAGATGCCTCTCTCCTACGGTCTTGACCTAGTCACTGGGAAACTGGTGATTGGCAGGCACAAATCATGAAGTCGTGACGCTTCTACAAGCCCTGAAAATATCTTACAAGCTTTTTCTGGGTATTTTCAACCATGATGAAGGAGGAGAGAGCCTGGATAAATTTAAGACAAACAGATTTTATACGAAAGTCTGGGACAAACGCTCCTTCAGTGACTCACACACCTACATGCACAGGTGTGGAGAAATCTGACCTGCAGGTTGAGGTAGCACAGGACCTGAATGCACGATGGAGGCAGGGGGGGCCGGAGCATCTCCACCCACCCTGCCGCAGTCACCCACCGGACACTTGCGCGGGTCTCAGTGAAGAGTCTGTGCTTTCCAAAGCAGCCTTCCAGTTCCTGAAAAGTGAGCCAGGCAACTGCTCTCATAACCCACGGGGCAGAGCTCGGCTAGTGGGCGTCTCTTGATCAGCCACACAGCCTCCAAAATGACTGATTTTCAAAGTCAAGTAAAAGCAAGTAAAGCAGGAGGATTATTTAGACCCCTGCACCCCATCACTGAGACAAGGCAGTGCTTACCTAGGATCTCTTGCTTCCTCTTGTAGGCCACTGGATCTCATCACGACTCGCTCTTCTCATCTGTGCAATGCGCACAGCCAGCGGTTGACTTTCCAGCCAGAAGGGTAGTGGTGGGTCTGAGTTCTGCAGGCACTCCTGGGCCTCGGTGCAGAGCCTCATCATAGTCCCTGTCCTAGTTCTGTAACGAAGGCATCCCTGGCGGCAGTCACCAAAAAGCCCTTCCGGTGCATTTCCCTTTTGGCTCAGAAGATGAGAAAGGAAGCTAGCCATCTGGGTAAGTGCCTTGGTCCCTTGGATCTGTGGGATTTGGGCAGGTCATCCTGAGCCTGGGGCACAAGCCCTTTTGGCAGAACTGTACGGAATGTCCAGGTGCATAGGATATTTCATCTTATTTTTCCCTGGAGGTGCAGGGCCAGATACTGGCCTTTTAGGGTAGCCATTGATGGTGGTGATAGGCAGAGACAGAGGAGGAGGAGAGAGAGAGGGGGAAGGTCAGGGCTGTAAGAAGTCCTGCCAGATCGGATAGCATCTCTCTCACCCTTTAGACACCCACTGCTGGTCCTTCACGGAGAGAGTGCCCGACCTCCAAATGTGGTGCATTCTTCCACGGTCAGCTCCACATCTGCAAGGTGGGAGCCTGGGAGGGTGAGAGGCCAACAGCGCTGCACTGAGCTCATCCGGAGGACCTGAGGCAGGAGGACGTCTGTCCAGGGCCCAGGGGCGGGGGACAGTTCATGGAGCCATTGCAGAAAAAGGATTTCAGGGGAGAAGCTAGAGAACTTCCTGGAGGGCAGGATAACTTCAATCACTCTAAGAAGAGTTTGGGGGAACAGGAGACAGAAGTTACTTCCCTGTCTTCCATCTGCATGGAGGCAGAAGGCTGAGCAAGATGATGAGGTGAAAAGGAGGTGGGCCCTGCCCAGGCAAATCAGTGCGTGTCTCCTTGTGGACTCAGACACTGCTGTCTTGACATAGTTCGCAGGAACAGCCAGAGGTAGAAAGCGCTGTCAGTTGGATTCTTAGGTCAGGAATTTCCCAAGCCCATTTTGGGGTCAAGGAACCTAAGCGCTAATAAGGTGAATGACATAATAGATTCAGGTCGGGTGGGGAAGGGGGGTGTGGAGCTTCAGTGAGGGCCAGGTTAAGGTTTCTTTCCAAGATCATCTTCCTTTTTTTTTTTTTTCTCCTGTATTTTAGGTAAGGGTCTACAGGGTGTTCATGGTCTTGCTACTAGATCAGACTCGTAGTGATTCTCCTGTTTACAGCCTCCTAAACGCTGGGATTACAGGCATGTGCCACTATGCCCAGTCTCAATCACTGGCTCAGCACGCGCGGGGGAGGGGGGCCAGCACAGCAGGCCCAGGGATCAAAGCCCCGGCCCCTGCCCTTTAATCCGCTGAGCTATCTGGCCGGTCCCTAATCATCTTCCAGTCCAGAAGAGTCTGTACCAATCCCTCTGTTTTCTCAGCTGCCTTTCAAGTATGGTGTCCCAGAGTGTGCTCCTGCCCTCTGTTGTCTTGGTCTGGTCTCTTCCAGTGGGCACACACCCCAGGGCGGTGTGGCTATGCCCAGACTTGGGCTCTGAACTCAAACAGCTGGCCTTTTCCTGACGGTGCACATGAAGCAGCTCCTCACCAACACCATTATTTTCCTTCCCTCTTACACCGTCTCCTCCATCCTCCCTCCCTCCCTCAACTCGCTGTCCCTCTGTCACTCCCTTCTGTCCTTTCTTTTATCGCTTACCTTGCTTTGTTTTTCCTCATAGCACTTACGCCATGGACCTATTGAACATTCATTCGTTATTGTCTGTTTCCTCCACTAGGTCGCCGTCTCCCTAGAGCAGGCACCATGTCACCTCTCCTTACACCTTCAGTGCCTACCACAGATGCCTTTAAGTATTTATATGAACAACCAGTGCTCCCAATTTTGCCAATCACTAGTGAGGTGGCCTTGGGCAAATTACTGCCTCTCGGTTCACATTTACCAAGCCCTTCCGACGTGCGAGGCACTATTTATTCCACAAGATTTGTATGTCAACTCATTGAAGTCCCACAGCAATGCTGTGAGGTGATTCTATTATTACCCTCTATCACTGACAGATGAGGAAAAGGGAAGTCCTGAATGACTGCCCCAGGATGGAATTATTGGCTGGTCCACTCCAGTCCTGATTTCTGCTCTGCCTCTGTCTTCTGGTCTGTAACGCCTGACCTATAAAACAGGGCTAATCACAGCTCTTCCTTGTTTTCCCCAGTGCACATGCCTCTCACCTATGGAAGGCGGGTGTCTTCAGGAGGTGATAGCTCAAGCAAGGCTGGGTGCTGGGCTCAGGGGGAGGTCATGGATCTCTGGGTGCTGCCACAGGCCTTCGGGATTCTGCACAGGCCTGGAAGCCAAACTCCTGTTTCCCTGCTGCATTCCTCCTGACAAGTTCCTTTGGTGACTTGGGGAATCGTAGGATTAGGCATAGGCTGGAGGGGTAGTGTGAAGGGATTTACATTTCTGGTAATGAGGCAGATTCGTTCTACTCCAGTTAAAACAGGAAATGTTGACTAGAATTAAAATAATCTTTCTCAAAGCATCAAAGAACCTTCTTAGACAGGAAGGAATGAGTCAGTCAAAATTTAAGCGAAAAGCAGAATCAGGAGACAATCAGGGCTCCAGAGCCCCTCAGGCCCTGAGGACATCGGCCAAACCAAGCCAAACTTGGGCTTTGGCTTCAGCATTTTGGGGAAGCTGCAGCCCAGGACTCACCCAAAGAGGAGATACAAGTGGAAGACAGGCCTTGTCTTGATGGGACCCCAAAGGGCTACATGTGAAGCTAACAGGCAGAGGGAACCTGCCTTTCCCTCCCCAGGTCTGTGAGGAGAGTTAGAGTTGCCTTGGTGCTGAAGCGATCAGGAAGAGGAAAACAGCCCCTAAGGGACTCCAGCCACAAGCCAGCTCTCTCTGGTGCCTGTAGCCCAAGTTCATTTTTTTTTTTTTTTCTGAAAAATTAACAGTTTATTATAATTTATTTTATTTAACAATCTAGGAAGTTCGCAGCCATCAGCAGTTCCAGCGCTATCTCAGGTGTGATGGGAAATTCAGGAATTTCAGTGGAGCTGTTAGTGTAGCGCACCTTGTAGGTAAAATACATGCAGACTTTTGAAAGCACATGTGAAGGGATTTCTCTGAAATTAACCTCATTGGTTTCATTTTCAGCAAACTGACCTGGGCCACTCAACATGGCTTTTATTGTTCCTGATGTTAGTGCATGCTCTCTTTTTACAATAAACTCATGACCATCAGAAGATATCAATTTGACATACATGGCATCCGGGCCTTCACAGCCACCATAGGTTTTCTCTTCTCCATCCATTATGTTCTTATATAATTCTACTTTCGTTCCACAGGAACTTCTTTAGTAGCTTCTCGTCCGCACCACGGCGACCACAGCCAAGTCTGCCCCAACTGCCGCAGCCCCCTCCAAGTTCATTCTTGTCACTTGGGGTGCAGAGGCAAGAACACTGAAGTCCAGCCTGATGGAAGCTCCTCTAGGAGACACATAGTAATTTCCTCTGGGGATGCAGGAAGTTCATAACCAAAAGCACCCAAGTACCCAAGTGGTCTGTGAGTCTGTGACTGGTAGCAGAGCTAGGATAGCCTCAGTCTTCTCATCTGTAAATGGGAGTCTCAGCCAGGTGCTGTCCAAGGCACCGCAGCATGTTAACTCTAAGCTAACTTAGGTGAGGGTGCCTCTTCAGAGAGAAGAAATGCGGCTGTGATGCGACCCAGGTCTGTTTCCTCCAGCCACACTGTAAGGGTGGGGGCAGGAAGCTGTCCCCAGTTCCCACTCCTGGGTGGGGGTACGGGAGGGGGGAGGATGACTGGTGTGTGAAGCCCAGCTTGGATCTTTGATGTGAGCGTGCATAGGTGGGCGGGTGGACCTGTAAAAGGGGCTGCTAAGGAAAGGAGGCAGGGGAGCCCCTGGGGGCAGCCTCAGTACTGACCTACTTGTCTGCCCATAATTGCCCCTTTCATTCCTGGGGAGGCTACAAATAGGGATGCCAGTCTCTAGGCTCCCACAGCTGGAAGGACAATACCAGTGGTGAGTGCTGGCTGCATGGGTCCTGCCCCAGGTTGAGTGTCAGGGCTGTCTCCTGACCAGGGTGTGGGCATGGGGGCAGAGAAATGATCACTGTAGGTGACCAAGTGAGGGGAGTCATTTATGGCAGATGCTGGGATGCCCCATGCACTAATGTGGGCTGATGGGAAGTTTGGGTTGGGGTTGTACAAAGCTGGGGCCTGGCCCAAGGGTGGAAGCCATAGGCTAAAAGTTCTGGTGTTGCTGTTAGTTGGCATCCTGCTCTCCTCTTTTCTTCCTTTCATCACCAGGGGAACAGGTTGGGACAGGCCATGGCTGTAGGGGAAGAGAGGATTCCTGCTGGTCCCCAGGCCTTGAGCTTTGAAACAGCAACAAAGCTGGTGCCAGGGCAGTGGGCAGGAGCCTGGAAGCACATGCTGCACGCCTTGGGAGGTTCCCGACTCTGGGGAACAAGGGCTCTTTCCTCTCCTGGGAGCATGATCATCTCGCTCCAACCCTGGGCTGACATAAAGCACTGCAGCCTAGCAGTGCCTGGCTCCCCTTCCCCACCCTTGGGCTCCCTAGTCCTACCTCTCTGTCAGTCACACCACACTGGCCATCCGTCCCCCTGCCAGAGCAGGAACTGCTGGAGAGAGAGGGCTGGCCCTGGCCACCCTACTCAGCAGGACTCCCATCCCTTGAGGGAAGCAGGAGTGACTCACTGAGCTCACGTGGAAGAAACTCTTGCCTCCCTGGCCACCCAGGCTTCCCGCACGCGGGAGGCATCAGCCCAGGAGGGCATGGAAGGGGCCAGTGGAATTAAGGGAGGGAGCAATTCCAGGGAAGGCTCTGCTCCACCAGAACCAGGCATCTCACAGAGGCCCCTATCTCAAGACCTTTCAGGGCCAAGAAGGGGGCCTCAGCGGGGGTGGGGTGGGGTGGCAGACTGGTAAATCTCTGAGTTGGCCACCTCTCCAGAAACCTCTGGCTCATGCTCCTAACTCAGTCTGTGAGGGGGATTTGCCATCTTTCAGAGAAGGCACTCAGAGAGGGAAATGACTTACCCAGGGTTGCAAAGCTAGCAAGGGACAGAGGATCCCAGATTTTCTTGTGGTGCAGCACCCTTGAGTTCAGGGTGGGGGCCGGGTGAAGTGATGGGGGTTTCCTCTGGGGTGTACCCACCCTGCTAAGGCCCAACTCTGGCAAGGACCTTCTGCAAGTTCTCATGGGAAGGAGCTCTGGGATCCTAAAGGGGATGGGACTTTAGGACCAGGGGGTGCATCTTAAGGGGGTGTGGGGGCAGCAGACCATTCCTGGGGAGTGTGGGTGTGAGGAAAGATGGGAGAGAGCTGGAGTCCTTAGGGAGCTCCACAGTGGGGGTGAGGGTGATGGGGGCCTTCTGTGTCCACGGAGTTGGCACCGATGTTGGGGAAATGAGGCTTGACCAGGAAAATCACCGAGGACCGTTGGAGATGAGTTGGGAGGACTGGTGAGTCCAGGAAGGCTGCTCAGAGGAGGGCTGACAAGACGGTTCAGGGAACACCCAGCAGAATGAGCAGGGGGCTGGCCTGGCTTCTGCCCAGAGTCACGGACTTGTTCTGTGATAGTGAGGATGGCTCAGAACCTGGAGCAGGCCTTGGCGACGATCGTGGTCACCTTCCAGCAATACTGCCAACGCTCTGGAGACAAGCACAAGCTCTGCCAGGCGGAGCTCAAGGAGCTGCTGCACAAGGAGCTGCCCACGTGGACCCCGGTGAGCACCCGGCTTCCCAGCGGGATGGCAGCTCCTAGATGCTGCAGAGTGACCTCAGGTCAGCACAAGCAGAGCATAGCAAAGGACAGAGACTACAGTGTGGCGAGGGGCTGCTAGAAAGGGATTGAATGACCACAACATCCTCCTGTCTCAGCCTCCCTAGTGCTGGGATAAAGGTGTGTGTCCCCAGGCCTGGCTTTCAGTTTCCTATCCTTGAAGTGGGACATCAGTCTCACACCTTGGCTTTGAAGACCTTGGGAAGGTTAAGGGAAGCCCTGCAAAAAAGGCAGGACTCAGTAGCAAAGAGTCAGTGCCCTGAGAAGGGGGATTTGGAAACTGGGTTGAAACCATGCTGTCAGCTCAGGCTGACCCCCAGGAGGGGGTTGAGTGGCGCAGGGAGGATCATCCTAGAGAGAACTTGCGCAGGAGTTTGTTCTGCCCTCCTCAGCCTGCCTCTCCTCCTCTTCACCCTTCTCTTCCTCAGACTGAGCTTCGAGAGTGTGACTACGATAAACTCATGAGCGCTCTGGACACCAACAAGGACTGCGAGGTGGACTTTGAGGAGTACGTGCACTCACTCGGCCGCCTCTGCCTCTTCTGCCATGAGCACTTCAGGGGCTGCCCCCCAGAGCCCCCCTGCCCTCAGTAGTAGCCTTTGCTCCAGAGGGGGGCTGGCCTGGAAGGCATGGTCTGGCCCCTCCCTCCCTCTTGCATCTGTTGGCACCTCCCTTGGGTTTGCCTCGCCTGTGCCAACCAATTTCACCCATGAGATCTTCCCAGCTGCCCAGCTGCTGAACGGCAGAGCAGCCCCACCTCTGCTTCCTCTCTCTGTGGGTGGAAGGAGGTGGGGTTATGCCATGAAGGCCCTTGAGGTCCAGCCGTGTGTGTATAAATGAGGCCATGGTAGAAGGGGCTGTGTAACTCCTAATAAAGACATGGCAGCAGAATGGCTTGTTTTGGTTCTTTTGAGTGGACACTCTGGGTTTCAGGATGGAGTCCCCCTTTCTGGCATTTTCCACAGAAAGAAGGACCCTGAGGGCAGTTTCAGACCCCTGAGAAGCACTTGTCTCGTTGTTCAAGTGGGAGGGGTGGGATTGACACAAGGAGTCCAGAGGGAGCTGGAAGTCCCCCTCTGTCTATCTCTGTGTCTTGGAGGGAGAAGCCCCACTTTGGTCTGTCAGGAGTAACTGGAGGGGCCTATTATCTCAGCGACCACATGCTCATCTAACATGCTTGAGACCCTGGGTTCCATTCCCAGTGTGTGTGGGAAACCCAAACCAAAACCCAAAAAAGAATGGGGGAAGTGTTTTCTGGGGATGGAACTTAGTTCTCATGACCGGATGTTCTGGGGATAAGGGTGGACAATGGGTGGGGTGGGGCTTGAGTGTGGTAAACCAGAGAGCAGCACTAATAGGATTAGGGCACCCAAGTATTTGCTGGAATCCAAGGAAGTGTTCTGTATTGCAGGGGGTCCGAATACCTTGGGGCAGCCCCTTCCCCTGAGGCAGCTGGGCCAAGCCACTCCCTGAGGGGTTTAAGGCCCACTTCTGACCCACACTCATATCTATGTTCAGGCCCCATCCTGAGAAGTTAACTGTGAGCCTGACACCCCCACTTTGTGCTGTTTCACCTCACATTCTCCACCCTAACCTGGGTTGTCCATTCCCAACCCTCAACACCCTTCCTGACAATTTGTCTTACACTTTCACCTATCCCTGAGCCCCTCCTGGTGACATAGGGGAAAGAAACGCTCAAGCTGAAAGACATCTGGTACAAGTTCCTGTTCTCTAAAATTGAAGAGTGAATTTTAGGAACAA